TCTTAATTATCATAGCCAGCTCCCACTAACGGAATGCATCTACCACAGCAATCCGAATGCCACATAGCCCAGCAGATACCTTATAATAACCGATTACACCGAGCCAACCACAACCCAAATGGTGCAGAGTCGAGACATATACAGTATATTGCTTCGCCGACAGCCATCCGACTGCAGAGTCACACACTTGACTGCTGCCGATCCGGCAACACAAAACGAAGCCGTCTGACCGCTCCCCGAGTCAGCAGCATCCAAACACCGCGGAATCGACGGTAATATCCTGATGACCATAACGTCGAACAAACAACAGCCACCCGATTGCCAACGAGAGGAGATCATCATATCCACTTCCATATTCCTCACATATTATTCCTTCTGTATGGAGGTACTATAATAAGTATTGAAATCATAAACCCTCGTGATCCACATAAGGTTTGTGGGTCCTTATGTCGACTAACTTAGCCCTTGATGGATGGATGACCTTTAATATATGGAAATCCTCTTAGAAGATCTGTCCGCTACAGAAGATATTTGAAAGGTCTTCAATCCATAGAAGTTCTCTGCAAGGCCTCAGAGAAACTGTTTCGCTGGAGACTTCTTGGAAGTTTTTTAAAGACGATTTTTTCAACAGAAAACTTCTTGGTAAATATTATATGCGGAGAAAACATGTCGAAAGATCTTCGATCTATAGAAGAACTCTATAGAATTTTTTTCATCCACAGAATAGTTTTTAAAGGGCGACCGTAACTTGAATACATCTTGAGGCCATACATATTACAAATCTTGATCTCTTTTAGTTGGTTTACCATCAATAGAAGCATGCTTCCAAGGTAGCCGATAGTTAGAGGACTCGTTGAAATGTATTTTTTCACCGAAACCTCTTGAAAGTTATTTTATCTAAGAAAGACCTATTAAATACGCCTTAAATAGCGCAATATACCGAGATTAAATCTCAATAGATCCCATATCTCTAGAAAGCCTCTTGACAAGCTTTTTGTCTACTGAATACTCTCTGGAAGATGTAGGTCCTCGTCTTCATGTAGCCCTCATAAAACGGTACCACCCGATATTCGGTATTTTGATGATTTTATCGACATTATGTATGTGAAATTTGGTATGTGAAGTTCGTAGTGGATACTACAGCCTAAGACAAAAAATTGTCTGTGCAGGTCCAAGTCTTCGTGTAGCCCCCATATAATGGTACGAAGACTCCATTAAAGTTTTTCTTTCACAGAAGATACTTAAACGTTCCTCCATCCACAAAAACCTCATAGAAGACCTCTCGAATGGTCAAACTTTTCTTTTAATTAATTTTATATCCCTAGAAAACTTCTCGGAAGGCATTTCATCTACCACACCTTCCGAATCTTGCTCTGTCATCCCTATTTAGCTGAGAATTCTGAATCGTTTTCCTTATTGTTATTCCTGGCTCCTTAGATGTTTCCTTTTTCTTAATGGTTCTTTTATGCAAAGAAGTCTGTGCAATAAAAAGACATGAAAAGTGATAAGTGGAATCGTTTGGAAATCCCCAACCCATCTACTTGTCCCACCTCAACCCCCATGACACTTGTTGCAAACAGTTAAGTGTTTTTTTTTTTTTTTTTTTTTTTTTTGAAATTGACTATCTTCTTTTATTTCCTCAAGGATTTTGCTTTTCATCTCTTTGAAGATGACCATGGCACATAACAGTTAAGTGATTTATGTGAGGGGGAGGGGAACTTAAATATAGCTGAAAAAAGTAGTCTTAAATTCCTATGGAGTTTTAGGTTAGCAGGGAAATAAATGGAAAATGTAAAGGTATTATTTGAAGAGTGGGGGCTAAACAGTCCTTTCCTTTTATAGCCTCAACCATATGGCTAGGGTATATATCATTTGATACGGCCAAAACGTGCCTCATTGAAATAACGGTTTTAGACCCTTGGACTCTTTGGACCAAATCCGTTTCAGACAATTGGATTCGATCAAGCGATGTTCGTCCGTCCGTCTGTTTGTCTGGCTGGCTGGTGTGCACGATAACTCTCGAAGGGAGTATCCGATTTGGTCCAAACTTGGTACATCGTAATATTATTGTCATTCTTAGTTCTAGTTCGGAGATGGGCAATATCGGACCACTCCTTCTGGTACCTCCCCCACAAAGGGTCAAACTTTTGAATATCCATGAAGCTCATAAAACGCGGAAATTCACATTCGACTCCATTCAGAGTTGGTTCATCTCAGTATTTTCATCAACACAATATATGTTATAAAGATGATAGAGATTGGACCGTTCCTTCTGGTAACTCCGCCACAAAGGGCTTAGGTTTTGAATAACCAAAGCGATGATAAAATTCTATATAAGCATGCGGCCCTCTTCATATTACACACATCACAATATTTTTATTAACCCAAGGTCTGATGTGAAGAAGGAATATATCCGACCACTCCTTCTAGTACCACCCCTACAAATAGTCAAAATGTTGAATTCTAATGAAGCTCATAAAACGCGAAATTGACATTCGATTCCATTCAGAGTTGGTTCATCTCAATATTTTCTTCAACACAAGATCTGTTATAAAGATGGTAGAGATCGGACCATTCCTTTTGGTACCTCCTTCACAAAGGATCAAAACTTTAAATAACCAAAACGATGATAAAATCCGATATAAGCTTGCGGTTCTCTTCAAATTACACACATCACAATATTTTTATTAATCCACGGTCTGGTGTGACGATGGAATATATCAGTCCACTCCTTCTGGTACCTCCCCCACAAAGGGTGAAAATTTTGAATATTAATGAAGCTCATAAAACACGAAATTACTATCTGATTCCATTCAGACTTGGCATATCTCAATATTTCTATCAACACAAGATTTGTAATAAAGGTGGTAGAGATCGAAACATTTCTTCTGATACCTCCTCCACATAGGGTTCAAAGACGAGGGCCTGCATAAGTAATTACCGAATGTGACGTGAACCTGCATATGTAACTTTTGTCATAAGCCAATACAATATTCAAATGCGAAACTTGAAAAAAAATCGGTGAATAATGTCGCAAAAATCATAAAAATATCAATTTCGGGAGGTGCTGTTATTGAAACAATTCCGGTAAATAATGTCGCTAAAATCATCAGAGTACCGAATATCGGGGGGTACCCTTATATGAGGGCTATATGAAGACGTTGACCTCCACAGGCAATTGCCTGTCATAGGCTGTAATATTCATTACGAACTTCAAATGCCAAATATGAAACAATTGCGGCGAATAAGATCGCTAAAATCATCAAAATACCGAATTCGGGAGGTACCGTTATATGGGGGCTATACCAAAACGTGGACCTGCACAGACAATATTCTGTCATTGACTGTAATATCCATTTCGAACTTCAAATACCAAATTTGAAACAATTTCAATGAATAATGCCGCAAAAATCATCAGAATACCGAATATCGGGAGGTACTGTTATATGGGGGCTATATGAAGACGTGGGCCGCATATGCATTTTTTTTTGTCATAGGCTGTAGTACCCATTACGAACTGTAAATACGGTATTTAAAAAAAATTCCAGTGAATAATGTTCCCAAAATGATCAAAATACCGAATATCGGAGGTACAGTTGTATGGGGACTATACAGGGGTTTTAAGTACTGTAGATTTTCCGACAATTCCATTGAAAAGATTTGGTTGCAATCATTAAAATACCGAATATCGCGGATACCGTTATATAGGAGCTATATGATATCGTGGTGCGATATAGCCCATCTTGAAACTTGACCTGCACGCAAACAAAAGACTGATCTGTGCAAAATTTTAGCTTCCTACCTTAATTTGTTTCGACTCTAGCGTGATTACAACAGGTGGACGGACGGACAGGGCTAAATCGTGTTATAATTGTATGCTGATCAAGAATATGTATGTACACTTTGATAGGTCCAAAGATATTATTTCGATGAGCTACAAAAGGAATGACGAACTTAATATGCCCTCCATACTATGTATGGTGAACGGAGGGTATAAAACGAAGGGAACTTTTTCATGGAATTAAGCTATTTGTTTCTACAAATGGCGCCCAACCCAATCCTTCATACATTCGACAGACTTTATTGAGGTGAGAATACATAAAACGCTTGTTTGACTGGCTTAAATCGTCGGCTGGCTTCTCCGTAAAAGGCTTAACTCTAGTTTAGTAAAAACTCTTCAATTTTTTCCAGTGGTAGGACGGACCCGGGACCCCAGATTTTTGACCCGAAAGTCCGTGCCTGGACCTCACTTTTTGTAAATAGCTAGCCTTCGGCCGAGGCTTGGGATTTTTTCCTCTGAGTATATCCAACTCCGGCTAACGCAAACCAAAGATTTCTAAATTTTATACTTTTGTAGTCCAACGACTGCTACGCGAAATAAACCCTTTTTTATTTGAAAACATAATTTTAATGAACTGTTTAGAATCGGGTTGTGCGGATGGAAAGACCCATATCTCTGGACCCGAAAAAGGTATTAGCACAAATTGTAGCATTTTGGAAAAGTAATAGTGTCAGCTATAATTTGGCAACACACCCACAAAGGGCCCTTTTTTGACTCTTTGGGGGTTTTATAAAAAATCCGGGTCCAAAAAATCGATAATTTGACTACAACTTCCGAACCATGACCGGGTCCGAAGTTTCGACCATGACCAGGTCCATGTCCGGACTTTCGGGTCAAAAATCCGGGGTCCCGGGTCCGTCCCCCAAGAAAAATAGTTTCCCGAAATCAGGGTAAAAATATGTACCTCTGGAAAAAAACTAAACTAGAGTTGTTCCAAAAGCTGTTTATGTACATGCACCTTCAGATGCCAATGATAATAAATATAATGAACTAGCAGCTGATTCGAATTTTTCCGCAACCAAGCTATCAGCTGTTTTCTTGGGCAATAAACTCGTTTCTACAACCCTAGAGGTAGACCTTTTCGATCTTAGCATCCCTACACCAGCATTTTTGTTTTGCTTTTGATTTTTATCACTCATTTCGTTATTTTCATTGTTTCTTGTCTTTTGACAACACGTCCGGGGTTGTTGTGCAACGAACAGACGATTCAATGTTTATCAACAACTTGTTTCCCCAATAACTTCCCAATCCCGAGCAACCAAAAGTTCCAAAAACTGGCCATGCAAGGTGCTGCCGCCAAATTTCGCAAATCTGCCAGTTTAATCATCTTGGCCCGAGATAAAGCTGCACAAAATCCCGATTTCAAAGCTTTACTCTTTAAGCGGCCACCTCAGGCCACTTTTATGCCCAATTCTGCTGTCTTCCCGGGAGGAGTTTTTGAGGCTTCCGATGAAACACCGCTGTGGAGAAAACATTTTGAGAAAATGGGTGCCACCAAGCAGCTGGTGGCTTTAACTGAAGAACCAAAGGGCAAGAAATCAGTTATTTTTCAAAATAATAATCCAGAGGCTATAGAAAGGTAGATAAGACGAATTTCTCCAAGAAAAAGATGAATTAATTGATTCTCCTTTAGGGAAATATCATTACGCATTGCTGCCATTCGTGAAGCTTTCGAAGAATTGGGTGTTATATTTTGCCGAGATCGCAAATCATTGGCCTCAGGCGTTGGGGAAGGTTATGGTAATTTTCGAGAGGACTTTGACCGCAACCACTGGCAGAAGTTGGTGCACAATGACAGTACAAAATTTTTGGAATTATGCGAGGCATTGGAAATTGTACCCGATTTGTGGAGCCTGCATCAGTGGTCGAATTGGTTTACACCGACCACCTTTAAGAAGCGGTAAATACCAAGATACAAATGAAAAACTTTATAGACCAATGTTATGAGGTGACCAAAGGGAATCTTCTAGAGGGTATCAAGAAGGACTTTATGAACTACTTGAAAGAAGACATTTGTGATGACCTTCAGGAAGTCTATGGACCGAGTAAAGGGGTGTTTTAGAATCTTTATAAACGACTTAAGGGGTGTTGTTTTATAGACCAGCTGAGGGTATTATTATTATTATTTTTTTTTTTTTTGAGATGAGGTGGAGGTCGTCTCTGATGACCTGAGAGACGTCTATGGACCTAGAAAAAGGTTGTTAAGGAAACCTTATAAACGACTTAAAATGGGTTGTTGTATAGACCAGCTGAGGGTAGTTTTTTTTTGGAAATGAAGGAGGCGGAACATTCAGGAAGAATTTAATGAGGACTTAATGAAGGGAAGTCTTTGGGCCGAGTAGGAGGGTGTTTTAGAATCTTAATAGATCTGCTGAGTGAGCGTCTTTTAAGACGAACTGGAGGCTTTATAAACGAGAGTGTCTTTATCGGCGAGCTGAAGGGTATCTTCGCCGACAAGCTAAGGGCAGTCTTTATCAACGACTTGAAAGCAGTCTTTATAAACCAGTTGAAGAAAGTTTCGAGACGAGCTAACGGTGGTTTTATAAAATGAGCAGAATTGGGTCTTCAAAAAGTGCTGGAGGAAGTCTTTCTAGACGAACTGGAGGAAAACTTTCTAGACCAACTGGTGGAAGCTCTTATAAATAAGTTGAAGAAATTCTTTCGAGGCGACCCGACGGGGTATATTGTCAGAGAATTTGGAGGAAATCTCCAAAGTAGGCCGAATCGAGTTCTTTTAAAATAGTCTAAGGGATTTTAACAGACCAGCTGAATGTAGTCTTTCACATAAGCTGAAGAAGGACTTTCTAGACTAACTGGAAGATGTTCTTATAAACGAGTTGAAGGAAGTATTTCGAGACGAGCAGAAGGCGTTTCTTTGAACGAACAGGAGGAAGTCTTCCTAGACAGACAGGAGAATGTCTTTCTAGTCCTGTTGAAAGAATTTTTTTCTAGACGAGCTGAAGAAAGCCTTTCCAGATGAGCTGAACCGAGTCTTTCTAGATGACCTGAACGGAGTCTTCGAGAAGAGCTGGAGGGAGTCTTTTTAGGCGAGCTGAGTGGAATCTTTCTAGGCGAGCAAAGTGGAGTCTTTAATCTTTAATTTTCCATAATCAGCCGATTGGAGTTTTTTTAAAAGAGTTGAAGGAGGAATTTCTAGACTAACTGAAGGACGTTCTTATAAACGAGTTGAAGGAAGTCTTTCTAGGCGAGCTGAAAGGCGTCTCTTTGAACGAACAGAGGGAAGTCTTCCTAGACTGGCAGGAGAAAGTCTATCTAGACATGCTGAAAGAATTTTTTCTAGACAAGATGAAGGAGGCCTTTCGAGATGAGCTCAGCGGAGTTTTCGAGAAGAGCTGGAGGGAGTCTTACTAGGTGAGCTGAGTGGAGACTTTCAAGACGAGCTGAAGTTAATCTTTCTAGACGAGCTGAAGAAAGTCCATCTACACGATCTGGAGGGGGCTGTCTTTCAAGACCGACAGGAGGAAGTCTTTCTAGACCGATGGGGGACGTCTTTCTAGACCGACCAGAGGAAGTCGTTCTGACCACCTGAAGGGAGTATTTCAGAGAAATGGAGTTATTTTATATAAGCTGAAGAGGGTCATTCTAGAGGAACTGGAGGGAGCCTGTTTTGACGAGCTTAAAGCGTAAGAGCTTAAAGCGAACTGGAGAAAGTCTTTCGAGACGAGCTGGAGGAAGTCTTTCTAGACCGACCGAAGATAGCCTCTCTAAACGAGATAAAGGGAGAGTTTCTCGATGAGAGTCTTTCTAGACGAGCTGTAGACAAGTTATCGGAAGTCCATATATGGTTTAGGGTGCCTTCCAAAATAAATAGGACAGGTTTTTAATGACCTAGAGGTGGAGTATTTAAACGACTTAGAGAGAGTCTGTTAAAGCGAATCTAGGTAGGACGTTTGCACAATCGACTATTAAACTTTTGCTCAGAAAGATCTAGAGGTTGTGCTTTTAGAGAGTCTCTCTGCTGTAGACAAGTTGTAGGAAGTCTTTCCAGACGAGCTTTAGTTAGTCTTCCAAGACAAATAGGAGTTTTTAACGACCTAGAGAATCTTGATGGACGAATCTAGATAGGACTTTTGCACTATCGACAATTTAACTTTTGCTCAAGAAGATCTACAGGTTGCGCTTTTAAAGAGCCTTTCTGCTGTAGAAAATTTGTATGAAGTCTTTCCAGACGAGTTTTAGAGTCTTCCAAGTTAAATGGGATAGGTTTTTAGTGACCTGGAGATAGGGTTTTTAACGACCTAGAGAGAGTCTTTTGAAGCGAATCTAGATAGGACCTTTGAACAATGGGCTATTAAACTTTTTCTTAAGAAGATCTATAGGTTGTGCTTTTAAAGACAATTTGTCGGAGGTCTTTCCAGACGAGCTTTATGAAGTCATCCAAGACAAATAGATCACATTTTTAATGACCTGGATGCAGAGTTTTTAACGATCTAGAGGGAGTCCGTTGAAGTGAATCTACATAGGACGTTTGCACAATCGACTATTAAACTTCTACTCAAGAAGCTATATAGGTTGTGTTTTTATTCGACTTAAAGGGGTTTTTGGTAAGCTTAAATTGGGCTCTCAAGGTATCCTATTGAATCGTGCTTTATATGACAAGTTGAACAATGTTTTTTGTTTCCAGCTTCAATACGGCCTTCTTTATGATCGCCCTAAAGGATGTACCCGATGTAATCAAGGAAAACAATGAAGTTACTGATTTTGCGGTAAATTTACAAGCAATTTCCTTTGAAATACCACATTAAATCGATTTCCTTTTCACTTTTAGTGGAGAACTCCGGCCGAGTATTTGCAACAGCATTTCACAAAGGAAATCTGGCTGCCCCCACCCCAGATCTATGAACTTTCCCGTCTGTTGAATTTTACCCAACTGGAAGATGTGAAAAACTTTGCTCTGCAACGTCGTCACGAAGGTCTCGATGTTACCCTACCCATTGAATATAAGTGTAAAGATGCTCGCGTCAATTTGTTGCCCGGTGATGACTTATACGCGGTGGAAAATTCCAAAACCGAAATGCCTGTTTTGGAAAAAACTGCTAAACAATTTCGTGAAGGTGTAAAAAATATCCATCGCATTGAATTCTATGGACCAAATGATGCTGTTTTACGTTTGAATTTTGAGCTACCTCATGGTCATATTGGTCCCATCAATGCAAATCCCAAGAAACGGGATTGAGGGGAATTTCAATGGACAATTGTTATTTCCATGTGGCAGCAGGAAGCTGTCTGATGTGGTCTATAGGTTGAATTTCTTGTCCTTTGACTGTCTTCCCACCAAAATGTGCATTTATATGTCTAGTCTTAAGTTCCAAAACTAGAAAAATTTACAAATATAAATATTTTTTATAAATATTGAATGTAAAAATATTGTTTTCGAAATTATAGAAAATTTGCTCTTAAAGCCTTGACCAAGGCATATGCCTTTGCCCTGACTTTATTTTTATACCCTCCACCATAGTATGGACGGTATATTAAGTTTGTCATTCCGTTTGTAGCACCTCGAAATATACAATTTAGATCCCACAAAGTACATATATTCTTGATCAGCTTAAAATTCTATGTCGATTTAGCGATGTCCGTCCGTCTGTGAAATCACTCTAGCTTCCCAAAGAAATGAAGTAGGTTGATACAATTTTACCCAAATGTGTATTATGTCTGCAGGACTTTTGGTATTGAAAATGGATGATGTAGATTCCCGGTTTGGTATAGCCCCCATATAATGGTACCTCCCTATTTTCGGTTCTTTGATTATTTTAGTGACATAATTAACCGGAATTGTTTCAAATCCGGTATTTGAAGTTCGTAATGGGTACTACAGCCTATGACGGAAAATTGTCGGTACAGGTCGTCGTCTTCGTATAGACCCCATATAACGGTACCTCCCGATATTCGGTATTTTGATGATTTTAGCGACATTATTCACCGGAATTGTTTCAAATTTGGCGTTTGAAGTTTGTAATGGATACTACAGCCTATGGCAGAAAATTGTCTGGGCAGGTGCACGTCTTCCTATATCCAGTACCTCCCGATATTCGGTATTTTGATGAGTGTAGCGGCATTAATCACCGGAATTTTTTTAAATTTGACGTTTAAAGTTTGTAATGGATACTACAGCCTATGACAGACAATTTTCGGAGTTTTGATGATTTTAGCTACATTATTCGCCGAATTTGTTTATTCAAGTTTCGTATTTGAATATTGTAATGGTTCATGGCAAAAGTTGTCCACGTCGTCGTATAGACCCTAATATAACGGCTATATTCGGTATTTTGAAGGAATTTTTAACTGATTTTTTTATTTATTTATTTATTTTATTATTATTATTTTTTTTTTTTTTGAAAATTGCCAAAATCGTTCCAAATGGTGGAGGGTATTCAAGGGTCGGCCCAGCCGAACATACAGCCTTTTTACTTGTTCATATTTAGACATTGCAAAAAAAGCTATTTATAACAGACTCATACCTAGTACCCGACGTGACATGCAACAATTATAATAACCATCCCCACTATGATGAAATGTTTCGTACGGCCCAAGGTGTATAAATAGGCCTTGATACGGCCGTATTACAAAAATCAGACATACAACCTGTTGCATTTGTATTGATAACAATTCCGTCAATACAAGCTATACAGTCAGGATTCAGTGTTTGCAGTTCAGTCACACTTGCCCTACTTTGAATTCCTTGCACCATCACCTGTTTTTAGGACAATTGATTTCTTTCGATTTGTCAAAATGCATCCTAAATTAGGATTCCTAATTGTATTTGAATCGCATAATAATGTAACCAAAAATGTTGAAATTTCTTCTGAATTTAAAAAATCTGATGTGGCACTTCAATATTCCGCCACGTTCTGTTCTTTGTTTCATTATTTCTTCGTTTTTTCTTTTCTTTTTTTTTTTTTTGGCAAAATGTCGGCAGTTTTCTCTGATAAGAACAAACTCTGTCTGCAAACATTTTACAACGACAATTCCATCCCAGTGGGAAATTTGAGAACATATGACCTCGAAAATATGTTATGCATTGTAATAATTACATCAGATTATGGAAAATATGTTCAGAAGTTGCATTTTAAAATTCATACCTGAGAGTCAAAAAAAAATAAAATTTTCAAACAAAAATTCGATTTTAGATGAACTAAATGTAATCCTTCTAGACAAGCTGAAGGCAGTCTTTATGGACGGCCTAAAGGAATCTTTCTAGAAGAACTCGACGTTTTCTATTAAGACGATGGTGTCTATTCAGACGAGCTACAAATCTCTTGAGAAAAGCTGAAGGGGGTATTATTCACGACCTGAAGACATTTTTTTTAAAATGAGCCGAATCGGGTTCTTTTAAACGATCTGAAAGGAGTCTTTCTAAACGTGCTGAATTGAGTTTTTATTGATGAGCTGAATAGGGTCTTCCAGATGAATTAATTGGAGTCTTTCTGGGCGTGCTCAAGGGGTTTTCAGGCAAAAAGTTCATAAAACATAATGTTTCGGATAGGATCCAGGCTGCAACGTTTGCGATGTCCGTCCGTTCGTTTGTCTGTCTGTACACGATAACTCTCCGATTTGATCCAAACTCGGTACATCGTAATATTATTGTCAAACTTAGATCCAGCACGTACATGGGCAATATCGGTCCACTCCATCTGGTACCTCCCCCACAAAATATCAAAATTTAAAAAAAAAAAATATTTTATTGCACAGAAAGAGAAAGGTTAATCCGATTTTGCTGCACCTTTGCACATTCTAATATTTTCATCAGTGCTAGGTCAGGTGCCAAAATGGACAATATCGGTCCACTCCTTCTGGTACCACCCGCACAAAAGGTCAACATTTTGAATAATTTTAACTTTTATAAAATGTGATGTAAGTGTCCGATTGTCTTCAAATTACATACATCACAATATTTTTGGTACCTCCCCACAAAGGGTCAACATTTTGAATATCCATTCCATATCCATATCCAGCTCTTAAAACGCGAAATTTACATCCTTTTCCATTCAGACTTGGTACATCACAATATTTCCATCAACACAAGATCTGTTACAAAAATGTTAGAGGTCGGACCATTTCTTCTGGTACCTCCCCCACAAAGGGTCAAAGTTTTGAATGACCAAATCGATCATAAAATCCGAAATGTTCTCTTCAAATTACACACAAAACAATTTTTTTATTAACTCAAGGCCTGACGTAAAGATGGAATATATCGGCCGATTTTTTTTGGTACCTCCCCCCACAAAGGGTCAAAATTTTGAATATTCACGAAGCTCATAAAACACGAAATTAACATCCGATTCCATTCAGACTTGGTACATCTCAACACTTCCATCAACGAAAGAACTGTTATAAAGATGGTAGAGGTCGGACCATTCCTTCTGGTACCTTCCCCACAAAGGGTCAAAGTTTTGAATGACTAAATCGATCATAAAATCCGAAATAAGCCTTATGTTTTCTTCAAATTACACACCTCACAATATTTTTGTTAACCCAAAGTCTAGTGTGAAGATGGGATATATCGGTTCACTCCTTCTGGTACCTCCCCCACAAAGAGTCATCAATTTGAGTATCCATGAAGCTCATAAAACACGAAATTACAATCAGATTCCATTCAGACTTGGTACATCTCAATATTTTCATCAATAAATATGGTATAGATCGGGCTATTTCTTCTGGTGCGTACCCCACACAGGTTGACAGATAAAAGTATTGAAAATTGTGACCCTTTGTGGCTGAGGTACCAGAAGGGGTTCGCATATATATATATATATACATATATGTATATATATATATATATATATATATATATATGCGAACCCCTTCTGGTATATATATATATATATATATATATATATATATATATATATATATATATATATATATATATATATACCAGAAGGTATAGTCCACAGATAGCAATAGTGACTTTAATATCAAAATTTCCGGATATCAGCTCTTTAATCTTCCCCAACACCAAATTTAATAATAATTAGGGCAATTATAGTACGCATATCCCAAACAAGCTCCTTCTCTCAACCACAGGCGCCAACAATGACATCCATTTCAAATTTCCTTCAACCAATACCAAATTTAGTACTATTTAATACTTTTTGTACAGTTATAGTACACATTTTCAGAAATACCTCCATATCTCAATCTCAGATACCAATAGAGAGCTCAATATCAAATTTCGGAATTCCATCTCTATCCCTTCCCCCAATACCCAATTGTGATACCAAATTTATTATTATTTAGTACTTTTCGAAAAATTATACTACATATTTCCAAAACTTCATCCATACCCAGTACTGAATTTAGTATCACTTCGAATTTTTCTAACAAATATAATACATGTTTCCAAAACCACCTCTATATCTTAACCTGAGAGACCAACAGTGACATCTACGTATATCAAGGTTGAGGATTCCAGCCCTATCCCTTCATCCAATACCAAATATAGTACTTAATTTCAGAGACCACAGTATCAAATTTGAGTATTCCAACACTATTCCTCCACCCAATACCAAATTTAGTACCATTAGTACCTTCCCTACACATATAGGACGAATTTTCAAACCCCCACCAAATCTTTATATAAATCTTAATATAAATTTCAGAATTTTGTCTCTATTCCTTCACCCAATACCAAATTTAGTACTATTTAGTAATTTTTGTTCAATTATAGTACCTATTTCTGAAACCACCTTCATATCTATTTGCCAGCTACTAACAGAGACCACAACATCCAATTTGAGGATTCTAACCCAATCCCTTCACCCAATACCAAATATAGTACTATTAAGTACTTTCCGTACAATCATAGTACACATTTCCAGAACTACCTCCATATCTCATTTCCAGATACCAACAGACACCACAATATCAAATTTGAGGATTCCAGCTCTAACCCTTCACTCAATACCAATTTTAGTACCATTAGTACTTTTCGTACAAATATAAGACGTTTTTCAAACCACCTTCAAATTTCAAGCACAGAGACCATCAGTAATCAAAGTATCAAGTTTCCGAATTTTATCTCTTTCCCTTCACCCAATACCATACATAGTACTATTAAGTACTTTTAGTACAATTATAGTACACATTTCCATATCTAAATTCCAGCTACCAACAGAGACCTCAATATGGAAGAAATGTCATACACTCATTGATGGCTGAAAACTGTCAGATGTCTCCAAAATGTTGAATTTTATCCCAAGTGCGTTTGTGCCTAATTTTAAGTTGAAAATCAAGACAACCTTTCGAATATATATTTTTTTATAAATTTTGAAACGAATGCAGATTTTGTATACAATAAATACTTACATCCCATGTATTATGGTGTCAACCTCTCCTTTCGAATACCAAGGAATTTCAAAGGGTTAATACGGCCTAAAGTGTGTCTCAATATTTGATCTGAATGTAGTCTTCATTATACCCTAAGAGAGATGGGATTTTATACATATGCTGATGACAGGCTTTGTAAGTGACCAGACACTTCATGGAGTCTTCATAGACAATACTGTGGACCATGGGATGTGTTCCTTCTCTTCATTTTGGCTATCTGCAATTTAACATTGAGGACGATTTAAAGGGTTTGTTGATAGACGATTTGAAAGAACTGTCCCATAAAATGGTCTTTGAACTAAATATCAGAATAAATCAAATGGGAATTTTTATTGGCCCTCTAAGGGTCATGAAACTATATTGCTTTTTGTCGGAATGGTATTTAGCTGGATGTTCGATTCTTGTTGTTTTTCAAACATTCTTCTCTTGTAAACTCTCCAATCGATTTGAAATTCTTTTTCTATCCAATCGCCTTGATCTAGGAACAGAAAACAAAATATTAAAATACATATTTTATAACTTTTGTTTATTGTACTTAAAAATTTACAAAAATTCTTAAAGCAATAAGAAAAAGAAGTTTAACACAACTCAAGTGGGGCACAAACATTTACATCTTTCCAAACGACATTAACCAGCTTACAAATTAAGTGAAATTGTAATGAATTACAGGCTTAAGTAATAAAATCAAAGCCATATTGTAATCAACGAACTATGGTCTATGTCAAAAATGTAGACCCCTGGGCAATGAGTTTCTTTTTTCTTAACAAAAAAAATCCTAAAATTAAAAGATGTGTAGCAGCTACTTCGAAATACTCTTTCAAAGAGTTCAATATTTCCGTTTCTTTACAGTTATGTATCTTGTCTAAAAACAATAACCATTTTTTAACTTTTTCACGAAAAAAGTTGGAGGATGGGGGGTTTGGTTTTTTCGTGTTTTTTGGGTATAAAGGTGTGTGTGGTTGTTTTAATAGAAAAAACATATTTAAATGCTAAAACTTAATATCCAATCAAATTGTTGCGTGTTTATTGCGCCAAAGTGTTGCTAGGAAGATTGAGCAGTGTGCTTTGATTGCCAGGCAAATAGGCAACACCACGGGATCTGGATAGTTGATAGGCAATGTCTTCGGCAGCTTCAATACGACGCAATTCAACCAAACCATCACCGGCTTCGGCAAAGGATTTGGCCAAAAGTTCAGCAGCAGCGGCATCACCCTCGGCGGAAATAATGGCAGCCAATTTTTGTTGTTCAGCCTTTTCGACAACGAAACGGGCCTTTTCGGCTTCCTGTTGGGCAACCTGTTTCATTTCGACGGCTTGGGTGAATTCACGGCCGAAGGTCAAATGGGTAATGGAAATATCGTCCAAAATGAAACCGAATTGTTTGGCACGTTCAGTCAATTCATCGGATACACGTTGGGACACAATCTAAAAGTCAAAGCATTAATAATTAAATTCACAACCAAATGTGTTATCAAAAATTCCTACCTCACGCTGTGTAATCAATTCACCAGCATCGAATTGGGCCACAACAGCCTTCAAGACCTCAGGGGCAATGGAAGGCAATACCCTTTCATCGTAATCCTGACCCAAAATTGTATAAATTCTTGGCAATTGATCGGGAATGGGACGATACAAGATACGCAAGGTAATATTGACATTTTGCAAATCCTTACTGCCAGTCACCACGGGCACATTGCGGGGCTGTGAACGTATATCATAGATGATGGGACGTTGTACCCAGGGAATAAAGAAATGGGTACCCTCACCGGTAACTTCATTCTTGACACCGGTGAAACGATCGAAAATCACAGCACGATGGCCACCATCAACATTATATAATGCCGAATTTACAACACCACCGACCACAGCAACACCCAAACCCAGTTGGCCAATGCGATTGAAGAATTGAGCAGCCATTACTAAAGAGAAAAACTAAAAAGAACAAACACCACACTTTATAATTATCACTTTATCAAACATGCACACACAACATCATCATGCTAGATTTTGTTCAATTGCACTTTGGCAAGTGTAATTTCATCACATTTTTAGGTTAGATTCCAATGCCGCCTATCATTATCACTTTGTTTTAGGTTTTCATTGTTACAATCGGCTTTTATTTCAATGCATTGTTTGAGTAAACCTTTTAGACCATTCCTTTATAAGATTTTCATACCTTTTTTAATTTTTAATTAGAGAATTAACTGAAAAAACACCTATTACAAAATCACACAACTTCTGCCTACCGCAAAGAAACGAGGATGCTATCGATAACTTTTGAACGTACGAATGACAGATTAATCGATATTTTGACAGTAGCTCAAAAAAGAGCTGATAAGAAATGGATTGCCGTGTTACAAAAATGTCGTCAGCATGTCTAACGGGAAAAGGGGTTCATGTGGGATTATTGATGTTATTTTTTGTAATTTCATAAAAAACAAGTGAAAAAACAGTAATGGGCTAAGTACATAAGAAGCTTGAAGTCATGGTTAGGCATAATTTGTGGCATTTCATAAAGGAATTACAGAGCCGCACTAAAATCCTGCCGTCGTTTTCCATTATAATTTGACATTAATATGCCTAGCCATGACTTCAAGCTTCTTATGTACTTGCACCCTAAGTTCGGCCGGGTCGAATTTGGAAAGAATTAGGAAATTTCAAAAAAAAAAAAACAAATTAAATAAATAATAAAATAAAAAAATAGAATTCTTTATACATTCTGTTAAAATCTTTTCCGTTATTTTGGGGTCCATACGAAGACGTGGACCTACAATTTTTTGTCACAAGCTGAAGTACACATTACGAAGAGCAGACACGAAATGTTAACAATTTCGGTGAATAATGTAGCTAAAATCATAAAGAAAGGAATATCGGGAGATACAAATATGTACAGGGGCTTTACGACCTGGACCTGCGTAGCCAATTTACTGTCATAACTGAGCTACCTATTAGGAAATTCAAAAACGAAATATGAAACAATTCGGGAGAACAATGTCGCCAAAGACATCAAAATACCGAATAACGGGAGGTGCCGTTATAAGAGGCTATACGAAGGCGTGGACCTTCGCGGGCAATTTTCTGTCACAGACTATAGTACCCATTACGAACTATCATAACAAAATTTGACACAATTCGGGTGAACAATGTTGCCAAAGACATCAAAATACCGAATATACGGAAGTAAAGTTATATGGGGACTATACGAAGACGTGGACCCGCACAGACAATTTTCTTTCTTAAGCTGTAATATCCATTACGAACTTCAAATACCAAATTTGAAACAATTCCGGTAAATAATGTCGCTAAAATCACCGAAATACCGAAAATGGGGGTACCATTATATGGGTGCTATACCAAAACAGGAATCTACGTAGCCAATTTTTAATGCCAAAAGTTCTGCAGACAAAACACACATTTGAGTAACATTTTATCAACCTACATCAATTCATTCGGAAGCTAGAGTGATTTCGACAGACGGACATCGCTATATCGACATAGAATTTAATGCTGATCAAGAACATAAACATTTTGTGGGGTCCAAAATGTATATTTCGAGGCGTTACAAACGGAATGATAAACTTAATAAACCCTCCATACTATGGTGGAGGGTTATAAAATATTGACTGTGGATATAGCACATTAAGGAGGTAGGACAGATTTGTAGAACTACTGCAATTCAGCCCTGAAGTTATGCCCGCTTCCTGTCAATTCATTCAAAATTATATGCAACAAGTTATTGACATTTACATAATTTTTTTTTCTTAAATTACAAAATAAGTTGAATAGGGCGAAGTATTAATAAAATCCCTGGATTTTCTTTAAAATATTGTCCAAATTATATAATCTATGGCGTTTTCTTGATAGCTTTAATGCGCACTCTTTTCTACCAATCATTGCTTTTGAAAATATATATATATATTTTTTTTTTTCAAAACAATGAATTCAGGCACAAAATTGCAGAAGTCGGACACTCTTAGAAAAAATTTCAATCAGCTATTAGCTCTACCTTACATTTTTATCGAACCATGACTGTGAAAAGAGAAATAAAAATCGACCTAAACATCCCTACTTAAATGCATTTCTTTTTTTGTGCTGATTTCTGTTAAAGAAAAGATTGTGATATAAATCCTTATAAAATATTAAAAAATGATAAATACATGGCAAAATTAAACAAGGTAATATTATGCTTGTATTTTGTGGCAAAAATATTAAATTCTCTATAATTTAAAATTCCCGCGTTTAAAAAATCGCTACAATTCTTTAACAGTGCTTTTTGTAGTCTCAATAACACATGTAGCGGTAAAACCCACCACTTGGCATCCCTGCAAAGAAGTACATAAAGTCGACCTAGTCATCCCAACTTACTTGCATTTCTCCTTTCATTTTGTCATTCGTGTTTCAACTTTCGATTCGGGTGGTTTACACACAAAATCCGTTCGTTCGTTTAATTCTTTTCAATTTTTCCAGCCAGGAAAATTATGAAAACGAATTCAACATAGAATAAAACTCAATAAATAGAGAAAAAGTTTGAGAGAGCAAAAGAAATAAAAAGTGAACACATTGTGACAAAATAAAACATGTTCTAAACGTTGAAGAAAGGCCAACAAACGGGAAAAAGTAACCAGCAGCTGATGTAAAAGAAAGTAAATAAATATTTTATGAGTTTCATTTATGATATGTTTGTTTGTGCAAAAGTAAAAAAGAAGTTCTTGTTGTTGTTGTTGCTGGAGAAAAAATATCGACCGCAAAGAGTGTGAAAAAAATATGTATGTAGTGTGTTTGTATGTTGGTAGGCGGTGATGTGTGCGTGCGTGCGTGTGTTTTGCATAGTTACGAAGTTTAAAAGAAAAGCAAATTGAGAAAAATTATGCGAATTTAAATAAAAACAAAACAACAACATGTGTTGAGAAAGTGTGTGGAAAACAACCAACCAACAAAAAAGGGAGGAGTACAAACGAAAACATACAAAAATGCACAGCGAAAATTGGGAATAGAAAGTGAACAAATTGTAACAGAAAAAATCAAATCAAAGTGATGACAGCAGCCTGCTAACCTTGTGGGTTTTGAGTGTCAAGAGTGTGGAACCTTGAGAAGGTCTCCAAAATCAATTAAATTTCATGAATTATGGACCTTGTCAGTTACCGTATCAAAGTTCAATATTTTCCCTGTCAGCCAGCCAGACTCTGGCACATCACTCACCTTCCTTCATCATCAAATCAAAGAGAGCAGCAAAAGCATCCGCAGCTATTTAACGTTGTTGTCATTCATCTTTTTATTGGTCTAAGTGGCATTTGTTGTTGCTGTTGTTCCGTTGCCTTATATTTTTAATTCATATACAATTTCTTGGCAATACCAAAGTATTCCGAGTATCAGACAGACATATAGACGGACAACCATTCAGTCAGCCATTCAGCGGCGAAAGTATATATTTTTGCGTGGTACTTTTTAGCCACAATCATTGTTTGTTTGGCATTTCAAATTTGGAAATGTAACAGTATGGGGCCAGGGGTATTATGACGGGTTGTAAACTCAAATTTATCATAACAACATCGAGTAGATATCGCAAATTACCCATATTGGTTCATTCAATACCAAGTCTAGTGTCACTGACCTCTACACCCTAGTTCATTCAATACCAGGCCTCTTATCTTGCAAATGTTAAATTTTTACCACAAGAATACCAAAACTGGCGCTCTAATGAAAATTTGATTAGGAAAGCTTATCAACAAATAAAAATAAAAAAAAACTAAAAATATTTTTTTATGATCCAAATTAGAATGGATTTTTATTTGAAGAAATCACAACCCAAGTGTCAATAAAAATTGTTTCTAATTATTTAAGAGCCACTATTAATGCTGATAAAAAGTCACACATTTTTACAATGTTCCAGGCAATTGCGAATTGGGAAATACGGTACTTGCTTCAATACGCAATCCATAGAAAAAAAGGACTAATTGTCAATGGAGGAGGATTGGATATTTGATCTGCAACCAATGACTATCGCTGATAAGCCATAAGTGCAGGGCCGGTTTCTGATTGTCATTCTAGTTAATCTGTCGTGTAGCTTTTTTACGCTGCCTCTGGTTTGAAAGGTTTCTGTAAAACTTTGTTATTCGAAGAGGTATTTCTCTTTACCTCTATTAACTATCGAGATATCGTCAAAGACAATTGCTGTGCCACCAACGATCTCAGACTCTAATGCTAGTGGTGAATTGGGTTTCTGCTTCAGTTGTGCCTTCAAGAAAAAGAGTGAAGTTGAATTTGGAGGTTTTGCTTAAATCAGAATGGTACCTTTAGTGTAGATTCCTATTGACCTACCAGAAGTTTCAGACAAGGTTTTGATTGCAATTTTAGTTAGTCTGTCCGCAACTTTTGGCGGATTCAGTTTTAGTTTGCTAGGTTTCTGTGAAGATTTTATCTAAGGATATTCAACGAGGTATTGTCTTCATCTCCACAGACAGTTGATGTGCCTCTGGATACCACTGGATGCCATTTGCTAATTGTTATTTTCTAATTACGCCTATGCCCTGCCAGTGGCAGTCTTTGAACTCTCTTCCTCTGTAGACAATTAATATGTCTTCCAAGATCTAAGCCTCTTCTATGCTACTTGTTGTTGTTGTTGTAGCAGCCCTGCTGTCTTTGCAGAATCGGCTTCATTAACAATTCTTTGCTGATAATATCTAGAGCCTTGATTAATAGCTATTTGTTGCTTACTCGCCATTTGTCCTTTACGTAAAGTTTTCTAATGTTTCGGCACTTAACATACCTATTTACCTATGAGAAGCTACGTGAAGATACTATGGAAATTTGGAAGATGACTTCGTTTACTAATTTTGGAAAATATCTGTCGGAGACTGTAAAACTTTGTCATAAAAATCATCTTCGCTAACCTCTCACCTAAATAAACATTTTAAATTTATCGACTTAGAAAGCCATTATCTCGTCATATCACGTCATCTACATAACATTTACTTTTCCTGGACACCATACAAACACAACACCATATAAACACACGCCTTATCTGGAACTCGTGGATACATTATTAATATTTCCTGATTACAATAGATACACTTCCCACGCTACCTGGATACCTTACATACATTATCCTCGTCATCCGGTTTCCGTAGATACATTTTCCGTCTTATCTGGACACTAGATTAATTTTCCGTTCTTTCTGGGCACTGTAGATTCATTGTCCATATTATCTGGACATAGTAGATACATTATCCATGTTATCCGGACGTGGTAGAACCCACATCCGGGATATCTGAGCACAGTAGATATATTATCCATGTTATATGAACTGAGCAGATACATTATACTCTCTACCAGAATACTGCAGAACCATTATCTATGCTATCTGAACACAGCAGATACATTATTCGTTTTGTCTGAACCCCGTAAATACAGTATGGATGCTATCTGGACACTGTAGATACATTATACACGCTATCTGAACACTGTAGATACATTATACACGCTATCTGAACACAGAAGATACATTATCCGTGTTATATGAACAACGTAGATACATTATCCACACTGTCTGGACACTGTAGATACATTATCCACACTATCTGGACATTGTAGATACATTATCCGGGCTATCTGGACACTGTCGGTACATTATCCACGATATCTGGACGTTGTAGATACATTATCCGCGCTATCTGGACACTGTCGGTACATTATACACGCTATCTGAACACAGCAGATACATTATCCGTGTTATATGAACAATGTAGATACATTTTCCATGCAATCTGGACACTGTCAATACATTATCCGCACTATCTGAACACTGTAGATACATTATCCGTGCTAACTGAAAACTGCAGATACTTTATCCATACCATCTGAACACAGCATATAATTACCCACGTTATAAGGACATTGTAGATACATTATCCGCGCTATCCGAATACTGTAGATACTTTATCTATGCCATCCGAACACAACAGGGTTATCAGAGCACTGTAAATAAATTATCCGCGTTATCTGGACATTCTAGATACATCATCTGTGATGATACACATTATCCGGATTATCTGGACACTGTAGATACATTATCCGTGTTATCTGAACACTGAAGATACGTTTTCCATTCAATCTGAATACAGCAGATACATTATACGTGTCATCCGCACACTGTAGATACTTTATCTATGTTATATGAACACTGTAAATACATTATCCGCGCTATCTGGATACCGCAGATACATTATTCGTACTATTTGAATACAGTAGATGCGCTGTCAGTGCTATCTGCATACTTTAGTTACATTATTTGTGCTATCTGGGCACTGTATATACTTTAGCTGAATAATCTGAACACTAAAGATACATTATCTGCCCTATCTGGATACATTATCCGTGATATCTAGACACTGCAGAAATATTATCCGTGCTCTCCGTACCATAAATGATACATTATGTACATACATTATAGAATAGCTTCATTATCCACGTTATTCAAATAACATAAATATCTAATTTACGTCACTTAAATAACATAAATATATTACCATCCGTCCATCTAAATGTGATTCTTGCATTATGCATGACATTTTAATATCTTCATCCTAAACATATGTCATAAACTCGCAAAACGTCCTTTAACTTATATCATCCAATTTGATATCTTCCCACCGCCCCCTTTTTTAATATTTCCCCCTTGATGCCATTCCAACATTGGAATGTCTGCATATATACAATATTTATCCTCAGGTGGTGTGGCGAACTTTTCATGCATCTCTCAATGGTCTTTGTGCCACATTCACTGCTAGTCAATGCTGATGTTGGTTGTTGTTGTTGATATTTTTCGGACTGGAATTGCAAAGCAACGTCTTGGCCATGTTGTCATCGTCTCGGTGTGTTTGCCTTGTCGTATATTTTGTAGATGTTTGTACAATGCCAACGCATTTGCTTAGCCACCAACCAGTGACTTGTGGTGGATGGGGGTAATAAAAAACAAAAACAACAATCGTTTACGGTTTTTTATTTTTATGCCGTGCTCTTGATGATATCATAAGGATGAGAATATTTTACAACATTGTTGTTGCCGCTGCTGCTGTTATTGTTCTCGATTATCTTTATTTTTAAGATGTAGAACGTATGGAGTATATATTTTTTTTTGTCGTTTTATTTCATTTCAGCCTTTAGATTTTCGTGTTTTCCTTTCTTTTTCTTCTGCGCTGTAAAAGAAATCGAAAACGAAAGTCATCCACCACTATGCAAGTGATGAGTATGTATGTCAATTATAGCCACAGTGTGTTTATATGTCACAGTGTCATTTTACCAACGGACACTTAAAGGACACTCAAATATACCCCATTCTTTCTCTCACATATTGTTGGCGAACTCTCTCTCTCTTTCTCTCTCTCCCTCTAACATTTCTAAATACCACGAATCTTAATTATTATATACTCTCCCCCCTTTTGGGGTTTTGCTTTAAATGTCATCTCTGTTGTGTGGAGAGGGGGGGGGGGGGGGAGAAAGTTGTCAAACCATTGCCTCACATTACAATAACCTCATCATTATTTGCAAGCATCGTTGGTTTGGCTGTTGTCATCATCATCGTCGTTGTTGTCATAGCCATTGCTTGCCAAGAGATAGATTTGTCGTCACCATCATTACGATGTTT